ATTTAGTGGAGACGGGTCATTTTGACCCGGAGGACAAAGGGTGCATACAGAAAATGAGGACAACAGGAGCATTAAATTCCAGTGAAATATATTTATGTTTGTGGTTGTAATGTGACAAAATATGGAAAAGTTCAAGGGGTATGAATACTTTTGCAAACCACTGTATATGCATGTATGTGTGCCGGGATCAAAGTCTCTTATGTTTATTTCATCTGCAGGTGCTGACCATTCTGCACGAAGTGTTTCCAGCTGTGAAGGCGGCAGAGATGGCCGTGAAGTTTGAGCCGCTGTGGTGGGAGGGCTGGCAGACTCTGGGCCGAGCACAGCTCAACCTGGGCGAGGTTGACCTGGTGAGTACGAGTGTTGTTTTCTACCAAAAGAAAAATGAAGTATACTTTTAAAACAAAAGCTGAGAAACAAGTGGCAAATGCTAACCTGGCACAAATATTTATTTAGCTTTAGGCTTGGAATGCAGCGATGAACAGTAGCATCAGCTGTAGATGTTTTACCTCAAGTAACATCCCAACACTGGTTTATTTATTGTTTGAGGGTCTCGATATACTGAGAGTTAACTAATAGTTTTCAGTGAATTGAAGAAAAAAAAATGAGTTTGCTAATTTTTCCTGGGGAGCACCCAGCCTCTGAGACGATTGCTTAAATTGCCTCAGAACACGCTGGGACCTGCAGGTGTACAAAACCTGTGGAACACAGTTACATTGTCCCCATCACCCACGCCCTCCCTCTCTGACACACACGCTGCCTGGGCTGGTGTAAGAAAGCCTCGGAGCTTGTGTCACTCATGTGTGCCTCGGAGCATCAGCGCCGAAAAACAACAATGTGAGACGTGCTGAAATGTACTTTTGCTAAAATGTAACCAAACATAACCGCACCTCTTCCTATAATGAAGCTCTTTGGAATGAAAGAGCAAACGTCTATTTATAGTGGGACGTGTTCAGCCGAGTTTTTCAGCCTTGTGTGTACCAACATGTTGGGAGTTTTGCCTATTTGAGAATGCATTCCGTCGTTTTTGCTAACATGAGGCTTTCCAGTTCCTGCATTTTTTTAAAATACCCCAATAAAGTTACACTTGTTTCTTTTTTTAGTGCTGACTCAACACAACAATATTTATCATCTCTGTTTAGTCATAAGTTTTCTGCGGAAATGTACAAGTTGAAACTAAATTTGTTTTGGGTGCTGAGTTTACTTAGTCAAGTTTATCTTGTCTGAGATGATGCAGGCTGTTTTGTTATAGATGAGAAACCTTAGGGAAATATTTACTGCTATAAAGTTTGAGCAACATGAGATTCCTTAGAGTAAGTTCTTTTTGGGCCATAGTTTGAAATGTTAAAAAAAATTCTCCCTCTTTGTAAAATAGTGCATTTACTCAAAAAACTGTTACCAAAAGATACATGGTATTTTATTTTGTAAAACAGTCTCAATTCCACACGGGGTCACAACTATACATACATGTCATGTTCATTATTTACAAAGCCCCACAAATATTTAGTAAAATGTTACTTAGCAAATAGCACCAGGATCAGCAAAATGCTGGCTGTAAATGTCACTACTCATTTTGGCAGAAATAGTAGACTCCATATAAATAGTTTGATTTCCTGGTGCTGACGGGGTCTACCTGCTGGGACCCCGGGGCTAAGAGATCCCTTCCCCCTCCTCAACAGGCGCACACAAAAACACAATTTTTCCCCAAAAGATCACTTGTCTGCATAAACATTAATAATACCAGGGCTACCTATGCTATAGTTTTAAAATATCCCTGTTTTGAATATAACGATCATATAAAGCCAAAATTATTCAGTATCATGCTTTAGGAGTTTTATCACTAAACTTTGACAAGTGAATAAATCACAATAACTACATTGAATTTGAAAATTACAATTTTCTTGTTGTTACTTGAACAATTAAAAAACACATGATTAGTAATAATACAGACAAACTAGGCAAACAAATCAACAGAATCAATATAAAACCTGTCATCTACATTTTTACATTTGATCATTAAATGCATTAATTAAAGCACAGTTTTGTCACAGTCTGGTTCCAAAATGTACAAACATAAATCATCTAAATCCCCCAAAATATGTCTTAGAATTCTGTGTAGGATTCATATTTGCAGATGATACAGTATATGATACAAACATTTGAAAGTGTCACTTTTACAGAAAGAACATTATGAGTAAAACAAAAGGTTTCATGGAGACACACCTTTGTTTTAACACTGGTCATACAAATATACAAATATATATTTTGTGTTAATATAACTGAAGCAGCAGCAACAGCAAATCAAAACAAAACGCTCTACTTAACACGTGGCACTCTCCCACACTGGCTGATCAGATTTAGGCGCATTTGTCCCGTTTTCTTCCAGAACCCACCCACCTGTTGGTCGATGTTTTTGTCCCAGCGGCTCGGGTCAGTGTTTTAAAGGTGATCAGACTTGTCTTCCCTCCCTGGTCCTCTCTCTGCTCCTCGTGCTGCACTCCTCTACTCCACATCTCTCCTCTCCGGCTAACGTAGCATCCATGTGCCTCGCCTCGTCCTCCTCTCAGGATGTTTTGTGGCAGCAAACATCCTTCGACAGGTTCACTTTTCCAGGCAGTTGGTTCAAAGATTTCTGCCAGCTTTGGTAGCTTAATATTCTTTATCAAACTCGTTCTGACAAATACAATCTATTCAATTTATTGAGCATCTCTCACAAACGTCTTTGCCGACCCAACATGTCGGCAGCTGTCAATCAATCATCAAGGTGCATACTCCAAATCTAACAATGAGATTTATCTGGCCATGTGAGCACACATGGGTTACTATTAGTTTGGATCAATCAGCGGCCACAAATATTCATCTGTAAGGATTGACAGAAAACCTTACAAGTTATGAAACTAGTTTTTCAGCTCATCATGTGGCTTCAGCTCAGGTAAGCGTGTGCATTGAAGCGGCCCAGAATGATCTGGCTTTTAAATATGGTCCACATATTTTCAATAGGGTTGGGGCTTTAGGAAACCCATACCAGAATGTTAATCTGCTTCATTCAGTCAGATATTTTTTTTTCTTTTTTCTTTTTTTTTTTTGAATCCTGTTGGAACAACCAACTGGATCAAAATTTCAGTCACCCTGCTGAGGTGAAGTTGAAGAATTTCAATTCAATTCAACAATACTTTATTCATCCCAAAGGGAAATTACATGATGTTGTAACTCATATTATACTGGTTTCTTTAAAGAGTTGTTATAGACACTGATGGCTGTAGGCAGGAAGGATCTCCTGTAGCAGTCCATCTTACAGTGGATCTGAAGAAGCCTCTGATTGAAGACACTCTTTTGTAGTATGACAGTCTGAAGAGGGTGCTCAGGGTTGTCCATCTATGTTTCCGGAAGCCTGGCAGGGAGACGCTGGAGTTAGGGATATAATCCTGCAGCCATGTCTCAGTGAAACACTTAATACTGCATTCCTGATACTGGGTTCTTGTTAGGACATGGAATTCGTCCGACTTGTTCCCCAACAATCTCACATTGTCCATCATGATTGATGGAAGAGATGGTTAGAGATACTCCTCCCTTTTAATCCACTTTTCTTCAATTAGTCTATAACACAACATGATGTTGACCACTACTGAAGTGGGCTGTGGGAAAATCCACAATAAATTTAAATTTGTGCACCTTACCATTGATTTTGAACATCAATGAATGTATATGCTGTATAATTCTTCTACCCTGGACAAAGAATGGTTCAAATTAGGGTTGGGCAATATTGGCAAACAATTAATCACGATTAATTGTGGTATTTAGCCGATAACGATTAATTTGACGATTAATCTCTTGGAGTCCCTGGACATCCTTATGTCCTGGTCACATGACTAATTTAGTGGGAAAGATTTGCTCTTCATAAAAATCTGTTCCAAATTGTGTCCAAATTACAGACTTCAGGCTATATATCTAATTTTAAATTGTGTTGATAGATAAATAAATTACAGAACTTTTTTTTTAATGTTCGTCATATTTGAAGCAGAGAGGAGCAGCGAGCGGACTGACTGGAGTAATCTCCAGCCAGTCTGCCTGGCGGCATTAATCGTATTAATCGTCAAGTGCAAAAAAATAATAGGTCAATGTTTTTCTGATGATTAATTGCACACGATACGATTATGCCCAATCCTAGTTTAAATAAATCAATAAATAAAATAAACATTTTTGTAGCCGAAAGAAATAAAGTGAAATAAAGAATGCTCAGGAAATGCTAGTATGTCCTAATTTTTTTTCTACCTTTAGTACAAGATACATTCCGAAAACCCAGACTATTTCTTCACTTCATAAATCAGCACAACTTTTCTCTCAGGCTTACTGAAGCTCATCTCATTTCCCAGAAAACATCCCACAGCTGCCTTTTTTTTTTACAAACTGTGACCTTATTTTCCACTCCCTTAACTTTTCCAAATGTGTGACAGCTTCAGACGTTTGTCAGAACTGATTTGTTGGGTCGTCAGTCGGCTTTTATTAATTTGTCGAACAGAATTCATTTCTCCTATTTACCGGTGTTAAACATCACATAGCTGGTACGCCTGGGCACAAGAGAGAGAAACCACTCCTGGTTTTTGTTGAATGGGATCGTAATTTTAAAACCACGTCAGCAAAGATATATCGATCTTTTATTGATTGCAGTAAAAAGTACAGGTCTAAATGACAGCAGGAAGAATGTTGGGGGGTTTCCTGACAGGCTGAACATTGCTCTCAGCTCCACTGATGGCAGCTACACTGAGACTTTTCAGTTTGAACACAATGAACCTCCTGCTCATGTTTCCTCGCACATTTCCTTCTGTTGTTTCTGTCCTAAGCTGATGTCAGAACTGTCCTTTCAGGCGGTGAGATCCTTCCAGACTGCAATCCACCTGTGCCCATCCGAGGCCAGTCTGTGGCAGGAGGACCTGAGCTGGGCATGGACCTTACAGAAGCGGCAGCTAGCGGCCAAGGAGAAGATCAGACAAGAGGAGGAGACCAAAAATCAGATCCTCAATGCCCCCGAGCTGGAGAGGGACTACGATTTCGAGTCGGATGAAGTGCTGGCAGCCTGCGTGGCTGTTGCAGAGCGGCAGACGCGCTACGAAGAGCTGAAGAGAACTGCTGTGGTCATCGATGCCGAGGGGAACGTACAGAGCGTTGTGGCCGGGGAGCAGGGGTCAGAGGACACAGCAGCACTGTCAGAGGAACAGTTTGTCAAAGCAAGAGGACTGTGAACTGATTTATCCCCTGACAGTCACACGTTTTTTCCTTTCTTTTAGCCATATTTGTGGTAAATTCATCCATCTTTTACCCATCTCTTCCTTTGAGGGTCTCAGGGCTCACTAAGCAAGGGGTGGGGTACAAGTCCATCACAGGGCTGTTTGTGATAAATGTGTGCGTTTAGTTTTTATGTGTTGCTGAAATTTGAATGTGGAAACAGCAAAAAGAAAAAGTCTGAAAATCATATTTCAGTCCGTTTAATAAGCCCACCTCTCTTATTCACTGTTACTGTTTATTCTTAGTTTAAAAAGTAAACAAATGATTTAAACATAAAGCTTTTTATTGAAATAAAGGTTTTAAGCAATAGCTGATGATTTTAAAAATACATTTAAAAGCTTTTTTCTCTCTCGCTCTCTGCTTTAGTGTAAATAAAAACAGGACATCCAGTAATGACTGGTTAGTCTCATCTTCTTGCTTTGACTCATTCATGCATGTTTGAGAAATCCTAGTGTGCTGAGGCAGCCAGGCAGGAGAGCAAAAACGACCGTTTGGGCCTAGAACCACCTTTTGGGCTGTCTCCAAACAGAGCTTCCTCAACACAGAGCACACCTCCCCCACCCCGCCCGACCTCATACTCGTTCAGGCTATCAGCAGCAAAAACTAGTAAACACCCGGTGAAAACCATGTCTGCTGAGCTCCAAATACCACTTCTCAGTGCAGCCAAGGGAACTACACCGAGCTCCCCCCCCCACCCCCCGCCTGTCCCTGACTCCTGCAGGCAGCAGGAACAAAGGTAAAGATGGACACCGTGAAACCGTGTCATTTCAGTCTTATTTTGGATTAAACACCGTCGTCAACTGCCCAGGTAAGCTGAAAAACAACTCACATTGTTTTGTTCACGTTGTTTGGTCTATGTGTTGAGATTTGTAACTTTTTACGATCAGTATGTGTGTTTGTGTTTGGGTGATCTTACCAGCTGAAACATCGTTTCTGTAATCGCTGTGGTTCTTCAGAAAATGTACTTTACGGTCCAACGGTAAGGTTCGTCTGTATCCAGAGATGCAATATTTCAAAACCGATCTTGTATAATGTTGCTGCTTTTTTAATTATCATTACAACAAAGCACGCTACGACGTTCCAGCTTGTAAACAAGAGAGAAGCGGCTGTGATGACGTGCTGAAATGGGCGTGATCAGAAGGAGGTTCTTAAAGGGACAGAGGCCAATTTCAAGGCGTTTAGAAACGGAAATGAATGAGAAGTCAAGTGTATTTTTGATTTAAACATAAAACAGTGTTTTAATAACAACTGAAGGAGACATAGTTACTTTGTTATGGTATAGAATTTCAATAAATACCTGGGAAACACATAATATTGCCCCTTTTAAAAATATAAAATCTAGGAGGATAAGAAAATATAAAGAAAGAATGCTCTCATGCAGATTATCTTAGCTGCCTTCTGAAGGAGCATCGGTACAAATGTATATTTGTTAAATGTGCTGTTTATGTCAACATACAAAAAACCAAGTCTATGTTCTAATTCAATCTTTTTATTTTGGCACTTGACAGACTGATTACAGCAGCTCTTAGAACCATGTTTTTTGTGGAAAAAAGAAAGGTGTCAGATTTTTATTGTTGGGTTCCCTGACAAGGTCATTAACAATCAATATTTTGTATGTTCGCTCTGTCATTTACCTCTGAAGTCAGAAATCAAATCTGAGATTGACATCACAACAACTAAACCATGTTCCATTTCCAAGTTGAAAAACCAGTAGGATTTAATTGTTCTGCGCAAAACCTGGTGAACTATTGTTAGCAGTACAAGCCAATAATGATTTTGTTCGCATTCTGTGAATTCAAACACTGAAGAAACCTGTTTTCCTAATAAAGTCTGTAAAGTACCATGTTATGTGAGCAGCTATAATGGGATAAGTCCATAAAAGTGAAAAATAAATTTACTATAGCAACTTTAAACAGTTTATGCCCAGCCATTGACCTTTTTACAGTTCCTAATGGGCATGCTCAGAGTCAGTGTTTTACACTGCATTGGTCATTCCAACATCCAGCAACGTTAAAGGATCAAAATGTAAAACACTAATAAAACTAATTTAGAAATACTTTTGTATATAGAAGTCAATAAATGAATAAACAGGTAGCTATGAATAAGGTGTGATGTTTGATTTTACATATCAGCAGTAGTAACTTTAGAAAGTGTAGTGGATGGGGTTGGTCAGGTAATTCAGTTTTTTTTTTCTTAAAACATGGAAACTCCAACTTCCGAGTACAAAGAAAATGCACCATAATATCATTGAATGGCTTTAGTTTTGAGAAATAAAATGTATTTTTGACCAGATTGACAAACTAACAAATAGTCTGAGCCAAACCCTAAGTGACTTTCTACAGCTAGTCTAGTCATTGCTGATCATGCTAATAAACCTTTACACCACTGCATTTTTTAACAACATCTTTTCCAGGAGACAGTTCTGTTTGAATTGCCTCAAGCTGCCCTGGAAGTGCTAATGCTAGCTGCTGTTGCTATGCCTTCCAAAAGAACAGAATTCTTTGTAACTAACCCTGTAATGCAATATAAGGGTTATAATAGAAAATACAGTAGCCGTCACATGAACTGCCAAGAAACTTTGGAGACTGGATCTGTTTTAAGACAGCACCGAACCACTTCAGGCTTGGACTCTTCATCAAAAGTCACCGTTTATCTTATCAGCTCAGTCAGAAGTCAACTCTTTCTTCATACTGGGGGTGTTTCAAAGAGCTATCTGCAACAAGTAAGATAATTTTCCTAACCTTTGAACAAAACTCCCCTTCGAAAGCTTGAAAGGATTTACAAGGATTTACATTTAAAACATTTTGTTGAAGATCCCATTCTCAGAATTATGAATTAATTTTTTCCATACTGTTGTTTCACGGCGCAGTTTTAGCTGAAGAAAACCACAGATTAAAAAAAAATACAAGGAAGCGAACAGTTCAGTATTTACAGACGAACTTTCAACAACTTTCCCAGAACAGAGCAGCTGTGCATTTGTTGGCTGAATGTTTCAAATGTTTTAATCAAGTGAGTTTTTTGGGGTTTAGTTTTCGACAGCGGAATGTGACGGTTAAAGATGAAGTGACTTTTCAAAATCATTAACTGTCTGCAGTGCTGGCTCTAGCCATTTTGGTGCCCTAGGCGAGTTGAGGCACCCCCCCCCCCACCTAATTTACTATGGTAAACTTAGATTTATTTGCTTTAAACACAAACATACATCACACAACAAATTAAATGAATAAATAAAATAAATATAATTAAATACAATGACAAGGATAAACAAAAGACCCTGTTCACAATTTGTGCAAAGATTTAGAAGATCCTCTCTTTTTTGGAAAATATATGTCTGATTATAAGGTCCTCAGCTGACAAACTCAGTCCTCACTGTGTCAGAATGGATGTCAGCAGGATTAGTAGTAGGAGTAGTTTATTTTTCCTGTAATACTTCATTGTTGTTTTTTAAGACAAAGCTAATTGAAAAAATACAAGGGCGCTGAGCAGAGTTACAACCAGGGATTTCAAATAACTTTTTTCCTTCTGCAGTTCGGCGCCCCCTCCAGCAGATGGCGATCTAGGCGACCGCCTAGTTCACCTATGCCAAGAGCTGGCTCTGGCTATCAACAACAAACATGCTCTGATCACTGCACACAAAAAGCCAGGCTTTCATCGGTCTGATGGTTTTATGCAAATAAAATAGGTTGCAGGTTTGTAGCAAGAAGTTGTACTGTTTGTTGAGAAATGGATAGGTTTCTGTTGTGCGTAAAAAAAAAAGAAAGAAAACTCAAGCTCAGCAGACAAAGCTGCCCTAGAATTGGAATTTCAAGTTTACTACAAAGAAAAAAAAGACTTCAGACTTCAAATGTCAAAGATCCATCAGTTAAGAAAACTGTTGTGAGCCTCTGTAACACTGAACTTTGTGCTATTTTGCAATCTTGAAAGTTTCATTGTTTCTCTGTGGTAAAGCTTGAAACACTTTTTCACTTCTTGAAGGTTTTATGTTCCTAACTTTAAATGACTATTTGTCATGTTGGGGGCGAAAGCTCTTTGAAGAACAATTAAACTATCCAAATTGTTTGTACATTTCCTACAGATCCCCTCTTCAAAGTGATTGTTTGTAGAGGATTGAAGCCAGGAATGTAGAGGAATAAAACTTAAAATCTTCAATCAGAGAAAAAATTAAATAAAATAAAAAAGCTGGTGTGGCAACAACAACTTAGACAGAATAAAATTGGACATCGGGCAAAGCAAAACTGAATAACTGAACAGGGGCCGATGAGTGGAGTAGAAACACCTGGCATAACGACAATTAGTAACAGGTGGGAGTGGGCGGGGCAAAAGCAAAGTTGGCTGGCAACATGGAGCAGTACAGAAAAGGAAAGCAACAAAACCCAATGAAAACAGAAAAAAAGAATACAAAAGTCACTTTAAACAAAGAATTAAACACAAAAAACACAAATCTGACAATATCCTGTGTATGGTTATTCCATTTCAAAATAAAATGGAAAAAAGAAAACCATGTTTTAGTTTTTGCTGTTTTTAAAAGCTAAATGTAAAAATGTATAATCAAACTAAAAAAAAAAAACACTTTGATTTTTTTGCTTCAGATATCTAAATGCAAAAAATAAAACAGTGGCCTTTTTTTTAACATGTAACAATACCAGAAATGAGTCTAAAAAATAATCGTTTATATTTGCTGAAAAACTGCTTAAAAACAGAAACCATTCCTAAAGATCTTGGCAATGGCTTGAACCTTATTCTGCATAACTTGGAGTATTAAAGCAGTTTTGTTCACAGTAAGATCATCAGCTCTCAATGAAATGTGTCGACTCCCTCTGAATAAGACAAACTGGTGAGAACTGAAAACTTAATGAGAGAGAGAGAGAGATTTATTTAGTTTTAATATAAAAAACAGATTTTTTTTCTTTTTATGTTTTACTTTGAAACAGAAAAACCAAAAGAATGAATCATACACAGATTGAAAATGGCTAGAATATCCCTTTATTGCACTATCCTTAGTAGCACAATGAAATGGCAGTCGTGTACCCTACCAGCAATGTCCTCAGGTTCTGAATGTCTTTATTTCTTTGTTTGATCTAAATGTACGCTGCATGTGTTTTATCACCAGTTGACATCTCTGGGCACTAACACAGGCAGAAGAGTTTAATACAGACTGTGTATTCCCAACAATATGTCCTGAATGTCCAAGTAATTCAATCCCTCTGGGTTAATGTCCACAGGAATTAAAAACAAAACCTGCAATTCATCAGTGACGCAGAGAACAAAGTTAATGGAACAGAAAACTAATTCCACAACAATCTACAAAGTTAAGCGTGATTATGTAAGTAGATACACTCTTTCCCGTAAGAAGCCTGTTGTTTTAAGAACCTGCTTGGTCCTGGCTTGGGCATAATCTGGGTGTGCCATTTGTCTTCATGCTTCATGTTAAGCATTAGTGTTTAAGTAGAATTTGCATAAAAGTAATTCTCTATCTGTATTTAGGAGAGTATAAATGGAGCTGGTAAAATGTTTAGAGCGTCGCAAACATAAAGATAAGAACTAAAAATTTAGGGCAACTCCAACGATAAGAAAATGAAAATGTCAAACAGCTAAACAAGCAAATCGAAAACAATGAACAAAAATATAATTAGGTTTCAAATTACACGTTATCAAACTGACGGGAAGCAGAAGTAAAACGTTGCAAAGTGTACGGCCTGAAAGAAGACAAAAATGGGTATTTTAAGGAAGAGAAAACATTTTTAGTGAATATAAAGTAACTGGCAAACTGAAACAAGGTGTCAGTTTATAGTTGGAAAACAAATTTTAATG